AGCTTGGTGGCGGGAGATGGCACGGAAAGCCGGTAAGTTGAGATGCTAACGGTTCAAGGCCCTTGTGCCTCGGGGATGTTGCTAATGCGCCTTCGTGAACAGGTGTATAATTTCCTTAGCCATATGGCCTTTGAGATCGATCATGGCAGTATAGACCCAACAGCAAGCACAGTTAACTACAGCACAGCAGTGAGCGCAAGTAAATTCAACCCCATACAGCGGAAGTTAGACGTAGATCTACAAGCATGATCTTTAGAATTGTCGATTTAGCGCAAGTAGAAAGAGATAGAGCAAGACTAGCTAAAATGGGTATCTACGGGACATGAGTTAGAAGTTTGGTATCGACGAAGGAACACGAGAAGTGCTCATGTGGCGGAATCGCTACTCAGACTTAATTTTATCCGCCAATTGATGAACTCCTCTGTGAGAATGCTACCGTGTCCAGCTCCTTCGGTTCTAAAAACCTCAATGGTCGATGACCCTGCTCGCCTTCTAATCCTCCAAACCCCTTCATCATTAATCGTGGCTTTCAACCCTGCATTCAAGTCAGTCGCACGACGTTAATAATTATCAAAGTAACGAATATATGTGGACAAGCGGACGTACAATCTAGGAATGCGCTCGCGAAATTAATGCACGTATTGGCGTCCCAACTGCGCACACCACGCTTGGCGGCCGTTTCTGGGATTGAGGCCGTCTTAATCTCCTCGAGTTTGGTAAGGATGCCATTCTGTGAGCGAAAGCCGACGATAATCTTAGGCACTCCAAGAAGAAAAGACTGGATCCAGAATTTCATGAGTTTACGCTCAAAATTATTCATACCTCTGTCGTCTCGGATTTCGACACTGGTCTTCAGCTCGACCCAGTTGATCGGCGCCCCCTTCTGCGTAGGTTTGGAATCCCAGACTTGACACACAACAGTGTCAGCGTTTCTATGCAATATTACTTAAGAATACTACAAGTCAGAACGGCTCACTAGCATCAACTTCGCCGCCTAGGCATAGGACCGTCTTGCCTATGCCCGTGCGGACAACGGAACAATATTGCGCTTTATTGCTAACAATATGTTCGTCGCGACTCTCGATGAACTCGCGGCTCACTTCACCCCAGGGTCGCGGCAGACAAGATAATGTCTCGAATTTATAGCCTACTCAATGGTGAGTTCTACTGGTGAAGGTAGGGTAAGGGAGCTATAGGTGGCTTTACCCCAGAAAGTCATAACTTCGGGTGAGAACTGGCCTCGTCGGCCTCGTTGCTGTTTGTTTTGTTGTGCTTTAGCGACTTGCTTGGCCTCATAGTTCTCCTCGATAAAGCTACACCGCTGTCAGATTTGCTTGATTTCTACGGAAGTAGCTAGGTGCAGAGTCATACATGCAACCCTTTGAAAACATTAGTAGGCATATTCTTAATAGATGTTGGTAAATATGCGTACTTGGTAGAGGGTTGCATTCATTTCGAAGCTAGCACAAATGCAACAGTCAGATTTTCACTTCATCGTTTCCGATATTATCTTTCACATACCCATCCCTGTCCTCGAATGGCGCGGACATTATCTATAGGATACGGTTAGACATTCTTGCCCACGGTGACCGTGTTTGGAGAGTATATTGTTCACCTTAGTCATCATACCACGCCACGTAACAACGTTGGCATCAATCTTCTTCCCCTCCTCTTTCTCGTGAGCTGCAATAGTCTTTAGCAGGCTATCCAGATGCTCATCTACTGATTCATCGTGTTTGTCGAAGCTGTCGAAACCTTTGGACAAATCGGCTCCCAACCGAGGGGGGTGGTACCATTGCATCGATGAGTCGTCAAGGTGAAACTCATGCTTATCGTCGTAGGAAAAGCATGCAAATTCCTTGGGACCGATTGGTCAGCTATGACTGCAATAGTGCACTTCCCGGGGAATAGAAAGATTAAGACGTTGAATACAAGCCTTCAACCTAACTACACGGGGTGTTGTACCTTGGGCCGTTTTACTGGCTCGCTGCCGCCGTTGAAACGGCCAATCGGCTGGATATCGAAGACTAGCGATGGCATATTCGAAGCTCAACCCCGTTTGCGGATGGTTTTACACGAAACGGACCCCAAGGGCGGAAGAAGTTTTACAATTATGGGTGAGCTATTCACAAGACGAAGTTGGTCTAAGAGATCGTACCGTCACTGAGGTAGGTACATAAGTCGCACGGGGAGGTAGGTTACCGAACCCACGGTTTACCCCGCTAGTATCCAACCAATAAAATGCCCTATTTTTACGTGTTTAGACTAAGTAGTTATATACATCGCATTATATCAAAAGCAACCTGATGCGCATAAATGTCCAGGACATGGATAATAAAATATTAGTAGAGAATGAACAGGTATCACCCTGTAGACACAATAATATTGAGATGGGAAGGCGAGATTAGGTGTATAGCGCAGTATGCCATAAAGTATAACTGGTCAGTGATGCGGGTGCTGCACAGTTACTAACTACATAGGATGTATCTAACCACTTACGTACGACTGGAAAGAGGTACTTCACATCACCCCACTACCCGTCCGTAACCCACAACTATAAGCTTCTTTCCATCCAATCAATGGCTGATCTCTCTGTACTCCCGGCGCCCTAACCTCGCATACTCCATCCTATTGAATATTGTTACCAACGCAGGGTTATGAGAGTATACCAACACAACACAACGCGAACCTTCCCAACCATAGATAGCCCTTCAGCCAGCACCACCCTCTCCCCCATCTACCCAAATGGCAGATCGCGCGCCGCCCCCGAATCTACGCCCAGGTGTAAGCCGTATAACGCGCGCAGCAACGAGCGCAGCAGCAGGCGTGCGGCGCAACCTATTCCAAAGCCAGCTGACACGGCGACCGACGGCAGCCGAGACCACGAGACCCGGCGGCGGAGGGGGAGGAGGTCCAGTCGGCCCGGCAGCCACCGCGTCCTCGTCATCCACATCGGCCGAGGCACTGCGTCTCGATGCCGACGTGTTGTCCGAGTCCTCTGAGATCGTGGTCCGCGACAAGAACGGCGAGTTCGAGGTGGGCGACCCGCCCACGCCGCCGCTTGACGACCCGGACGACGAGGCTGCCCTCGACGATGCCCAGGAGAACGAACGTACGCAGTTTGAGTCCTTTGTTTTCTCGGCGAGGGGAATTAGAGAAGATAGTTTGCTTACGATCACGCTTATACACAGGCGAGAGGCAGAGATTGGCAGAGGCCGTCCGACACCATCAAATCAACTACACGCGCATGGCGGCACAGCCCGAAGGTAAATGAGGGTAAGCTCATGCTAAACGTCGGGGCTAACAGTGAAAGCAGAAGTGCTCGAGACACTCAAGGCCAGCATGAGGGCAAAGGTAGCCGCATTAGCTGAAGATAATTGGATGTACGAGGCCGAGGAACCTCCGCATGTGCACTGAATATAATAAGGGGATAGTGTTCGTCACGATCTGTATGCTGGCTGTCTACATTATGCTACAGTTATCACTCGCACAGTTCAGTTAATCTAGGCCTTCCGCCGCCGGCATCGAGGTCGATGATGGGGCCCTGACAGCCGGCTTCTTCGAGCTCCCGCCTGCAGGAGCCCCACCGCCAAAGAACCCACTCATCATATCCATCAGGGGATTGCTCTGCCGGGGCTTCATGATGCCAAAGTATATCTCAGCAATTATCTCTAGCGCTTCGTTCCACATCTCGAGGTCTTTGAGATGGCTGGCGTACTTCGTTGTCAACTGCCTGTAAAGATCTGGGTTACCCCTCTGAATGGCGAGCAGTAGCAAGCCGAGGAAATTGAGCAGCGGTATACTCGGGAACACACGCAGATCGGCGCTGTTGCTGCTCACGTCTTGAATGGCAAGCTGGGACTGTTTATCGTCGCTAAGTAAGCTGGTGAAGACGCGGTAGGATGTGTTGGCAGCCCGGACGTTCGCTGTTATCAGATAGGGCAGCACCGCCCGGCCAGCGTATAGGGCAGCCGTGTGTGCCTCGTCCTCCGTGAACCACTCATACTCCATGCGGGCCAGCACCTCGGCGGAATCTTTAGTACCTAACATCAGATGTTTCTCAGCATCGTAAGCCTCGTGCTCTTCTGCGTATAGGGAGCCGGCAACGTGGTGGAGCTCGGGGTCGCCAGCGGGGTAGTCGCCGAATCTCGAGGACCATCTGCGGGGGGCTTCTGTATTAGCACATTCCCAAAGGTCTTCCTAGCTAGAGTACTATCCAGTGACCCAATAGAACAAGTTCGTGGACCTACGATATTATCTCTCCGATATACTTCTTGCGCGTGGGCTCCTCGCTGTTGAACAGGCGCAGGCATGTTAGTAGCTTTCCCTTGGTAGTGGCGTCGGGCTTGAGCTCGGCCTGCTTGTAGGTGTCGATGAGCAGCACGCAGAGGTCGCCGCCACTGCCACCCTGTCCGGCCTTCAGCAGCGACTGGGCGACATTGTAGAGGATGTCGACGGCGGCGGTCCAGTTGGCGGCCTTGATGTATCGTGCGGCGACAACGCGGGTCTGCTGCTGGGCCTCGTAAAACTGTCCCTCGCTGATGCGCTGCTGTAGCCGCGCGATGATCTTGTCGATCTTGTCGCCGCCTTTGGTACCACTCATACTAGGCTATCTGGCCAGTGCGTCGCGACGGCTGGGACACGGAAGGAGACGAGGTGCGCAAGGATTTGGTTCGTTGGAATCTCTGGCTGATACCCGAGGGGGTGGTAAGACATGCGTCGACTGTCTTTACTCGAGTAAATGATCAATGGAATTGAGCCGTAACCAAGTATTACTTAGGTAGCTCCTAGTAGCTAGTGCTCGTACTGGACCTGAGAAAGTGCTAGTCGTCCTGGTTTCTGTAAATGAGTAATAAGAGCTGGAGGCTTGGTGGGGTTGACGTTATGTAAGGCGGGTGTAAAGGGTAGGTAATCTGGTGGCTGATTGTACCGTGACATAGGACCGGTGCGTAATTCTTTGTACTTGTATCCTATTGTTCTTCTCTTATCCTGTCTCTCAAGCATTGGTGGTATAGTGGTTCGAATTCAATCCTCCCAAGATTGAGACCCGGGTTCGATTCCCGGCCAATGCAGCGATAAATCCTTCATTTTTGCAGATGCGAAATGCCACTATTGATGAAATTCTGTCATCAAGTCTTAGTCAAGTCTAGTCATGACGGTCTCTAAAATAACAATCTATTTTTGTAGATCTACAAACCTAAAGCAGAGGTCCAATCCACATGGCATTCTAGTTCCTTTTTCTTTTCTTTTTTTCTTTCCCAAATGCAATATACTCCATCTGTTTTGTCTCTTTTCCTTTCTTACCTTTCTCGGAAGGCGTCTATTGCATGAAACTCATGTCTGTAATACAAACCTACATGGACCTCTCCACTTTCAAGATAGGTAGTTTCGTTGCCGTTTACGATGAAGGCATCTTCATACCCTCAGGTGCAATACCTTGTTAACTAGGCAGCTTTCGAAACCATCATCCAGGCAGTGGACGGTGAATTACGGCTAGAGGGCCTGAGCTCATGTATTACAAGAGAGTGGGTTATGTAGGTACTAATTGAAATACGGCGTATTCAGACATGAGTCTATACTCATCTGGCTCCTTACAAACAACCATATGGACACGGTTGGGCATATAAGACAGTGCCATGTTTCTTCTTTTACGTTCTCCTTCTCTCTTTAAACATTCGAAATCGCTGTCCCTTTCTCCCCTTCTATAATGTTGCGTCTTCATTCCCCAATGTCATCGGCCTCGAGAGTGGCGGCTATAAGCGGGGCACAACTTACACGCACTCATCGCACTCACGCTGGCCTGCGCTCGACTACTATCTCGAGACGGATCGATGCGCGCGCAGTAGGACATTACAACACTATATCAAGAAGTTTCACCTCGAGCTCCAGCCTCCTTCCATCACCGTCTACTTCTACATCAGCCAAGAAAGATGTCACTACCGGTGCTAGCAAGCGTGGACCATCGTCGCAATCAAGGCCGGGCACTCCTAGACCGTCAGAAGACGATTTCAAGATTAATTTCCGGGACCTGGGCATGAGCCGCATCACCAAGCTCGTTGTGTACAGTGTCATCTGTGTACTCGGTACCATGGAGACTATCTTCTGGTGCAAGGTACTCGTAAGTCCTTTGGTCCTGGACCGATCTAGAAGAGCAATTGCTGACTTGAGACGATGGAGTGGCGCTGGTGGACTAGTGATGAAGAGGGTAGTGAATGAAAGTATATCGTTGGTAATCGGCCCTGTGCTCAAGGGGCCTGGGTCTTTCGTGTAATATTAATATGATCTGCGTAGGCGCTGTGTGCTCCTCTGTTTCTGGTATCAAAGACGTAGGTATCGGCCGTCAATTGCATCTTTAGCAGCACAATGACTATATTTTCTCCGATCTTACTTATATATAGCTATTTCGTCCGTGTATATATGCATCGTGAACCATGACGAGTCAGCTAGATTGTCACCGAAACACTGCATAGATGTTACTATAGGCGAGTAGAATCGTGGCGTACTGGTAGGCTTCGCACTATAACTGTGAGACTTGAATCTTAGGCCTTAAGTAATTCTAAGACTGACTAAAGCCGAGAGGCAATAAGCGACGGGCCGCTCATTTTTACCTCATCGCCTCATCTTGATGGCCGTCCTCTCGACTACATCTCATGAGTTTATCTAGGATAGACGAGATCATCTACTTAAAACAAGACAAATTTCCGCGATTGGAACTAGCTATCAGGTTTTATCCATGACAACGATGTGTGAACTTACGCAGTAAGCTCGACTAGTCTCCCCGATCATCGCGTATCCGCTAGATTTTCCATTAGGGAGAAGAAGAGAAAAGATAATATAGGGTGGCTCGAGGTAGAGAGAATGTAGGGGAGGGTATATGATGATCAATTACTTCCACTTACTCACTGGATACGAAGAGAATCCTCAATTCTGAGATTAGCTACTCTGCATACCTAGTCAGCGTGTCCCCACAATATTTCAAGATGTCCAAGATGAGACGAATATATAAAAGACTGAAGAAGACATCATGTTATTCGTTGTCGTCGCAGCCACGCATGACGCACACATGTCCTGTTCAATGCGACGAGTCTTTGCTCGACAACCAGCTTTGCCGGTTCAGACATGAGACACGGATGATCTAGATGGTGTCGTATGTACACGTGTGCACCGCCACCAGGTAACAAAGTACTGTACAGAAGTACCAACCATTCCATGGCAGCCCTGAACGCCAATCACTCGGTCCGCCCGGTCTAGCCCATTACCAGAACCAGAGGAGGGCGGTAATTGGCTAGATCTAGATAGGTGCCAGGACCACTATCTCCGCCCTGCCTGTTTTCTCGGTGGCGGCATGGGTACGGCATGGCACGCTAAACCATCTCAGGCAGCGCCTGGCAACGTATGATGCGGCCGTTAGCCACACCGAGTCAAGCCACCGAGATCCCCTTGGACTCTTTCGTCCCTTAAAACGAATATAATTAAATGAAATGGGCGCTTTTTTTTTCTGGACTGCGGCAGCACGCGGCTAGCTAGTCCGCCTGCCATAGTTAGCTAACAGAGCGCATTGCTTCTTCATTCACTCACTCACTCTCTTTCTCTTTGCGCTTTCTCTGTCCGTCTGTCTCTCTCGCTCTCTCTGTTTCACTTGGCCACGCGTATAATTCACTTATCGTCTTATCTGTAATTATATTCATTCGCTTATTCTGTAGTATCTTTTCGGGAAGTCCTGTTTCGGGCTACCGTAAGTACCTAGCTAGATGGCTACCGAGATGGAAGAACCTGCGACGGCGGGAGACAATGCTGTCACTGCGGAAGAAGTCAAGCCGTATCGGATTCATGTGAGTGAGTCTCTTATAGCATCCTCAGGAAAAGTAGATATCGACACATGGGTGGTTAATATTAATAAGTTGCCTCGGTTGTTTAGATCTCCTCTCGCTATCTCAATCTCACCAAGCAGAAACTTGAGATTGCACGATTACCTCATGAACTTGATGAACCCAAGTCTACGGATTGGTGGCAGCCAAAGTCCCAGGTTGAACCTCTGATTGACTTCTGGTGAGTTACACACGCACCTCGACTCTGTCCCGCGTGCGTATCCCACGTATGAGTGGCTATGTCGTTGGTCATAATTTTCTGCTGAAAATATAAGATCGCTATGAAATAATATACTAACGCTGACAGGCTCGAGCAATACCAATGGCGGGAACAGGAAGAGGTTTTTAACGGTCTTCCACAGTTTCGCACGGCCTTTACTATCCCTCAGTCCGAATCACCGATTAGAATTCACTTCATTCATGTCCGCTCGCCTCGCGCCAACGTGATACCCCTTTTATTGATACCCCCATTTCCCTTCTCAAGCCTTTCTCTCGGCCATTTGGTCAAGCTATTTACGGAACCGGAAGAGGAGAACCATCAGCCATTCCACCTGTAAGTAATTCCGGGATCTGTTTTCTTGTTGGCGATTTATAGAGCATAAGCTTTCCTCTCCTGATGATGGTTGTGCCTAGAAACTTCCAAGATTCTCATCAAGAATGTCAATAACTGACCCCAAGTGTTTTAGTGTTATCCCTTCGCTTCCGGGGTTGAGTTTCAGCGACGCACTTCCGACAAATACTGCTGTTATATCCTCTACGGCAGACTTACTTGACTCCTTAATGAAGCGACTGGGCTACCCTTTTTACTTGGCAACGAATGCAGGCGCAGGGGCCTCTTCACCAAGCCAGATCGACTATAAACTTGCCGATTGGCTCTCGGCGCAATATCCAGACTCGTGTCTCGGTACTCATCTTATCTCCCCGCCACTGGCCCGGCCGAGACTACAAAAAGCACCTCTTAGATGGGCGAAATGGTCTATCGCCAACGCGTTTAAGGCTTCTATCTGGGGGTACCGCTCAGAGGACCTTTCTGCCCTCAAGCAGAATTCTAAAAATTTGACGCCTACGGCAACGCCAAAGCTTGAGGCATTTGGACTTACAGAGCCTAATACATTGGCGTATGCGCTTTGTGATTCCCCTACAGGCCTCCTGGTCTTCGTGATGAGGGGCCTCCGTCGTCTCGCATCCCAGAAAGAGTTCACACCCACGGAGATTATTAATTTCACACAGCTTGCTTGGCTTCCCGGCCCGGAGTCTGCCATGCGTTTCTGGGCCTACTGCTCGCGCCACCCGGAAAAGACCGGCAGAAAATCGACCGGGAGACCGCGCGTGGCGTTAACGGTATTCCTTGGCGACGAACAAAATGCGCCCCAGAGCAATAACGTCCAAAATGACGATATATATGCTGGTGTGTCTGGTGGGGCGAAGTCCTCGTATTCCTGCCCTGGTTGGGCTAAGTCACAATACCATGTACTTCATACCAATCGCGTGAGCGGAGAACCCGGACTTCTCGCCTGGGAACGGCCGGAGGTCATAGCCGCGGGCGTTCGGGGGCTGGCAGCTGCCGTACTTAAGGTTGACAAACGTCTTAAGCCTTCGGAAGTATCGGAGGCGGCACTCCCGGAACGGGTAGTAGCCGGTGCGGAAACAACCACGCCTGGGGAGGAGCCCCATTCGCCGGGTCCCTCCGAACCCCAACCTGGGCTACTCGCTCCGCCGAAGATTGGGGAGCGGCTACTACCTATACGAGAGATCAGCGATGACACGAAGGTCGCGAGTGACGAAAATATCGCCGCCAAGACGCCGTCGCCTGCGCCAGAGAGTCCTACACAGTCGGGTCCACCGACAACCATCGCGGTCAAAGGGGATTAAGACTTCGAAGTCGCGCAGCGGCGACATGAGAACATGTATGATTGGCGGCGTCGGAAGGCATAAGATCCGCGTACATAATCACATGATAAGGCTGAGTTTTGTTTAATGGAAATGTGCTACGATTTCCGGGAGAAATGAGGGACTGTCGCATTGCGCGGATGCCTTACTTTTACTTTACTCGATGATACCAAACGATACAAGGCACCTAATAGACATGAATTCTAGGATAGACATGATAGGTCTGCTAATCGACCGGGTTATCAAATTACCCATGTGACTACGTCTTGTTGGAGATTGCATAACAATAGCGAGTACTTGACACACTCTAGCCC